GCGGGGGGGGGGGGGGGGGGAGGGTTGCTCATGTAAACGCGTGTCGTAGTCGTTAAGACCATAGACCTCGCATCCCTACAATGCCAGGACGAAGCGAAATGTCAGGTGATCGCCGGCCCAGCCTACGTTCACAAGGATTTACCAGAAACTGGCCATCATCCTCGCCTGTGCTGTGCCAAACCTGATATGCCATGGGTTGGTTGGGCACCCCGGATAACCGAAGGACGGCCGGGGGCAGGGGGATTAGGGCCGAGGTCGGGGGGGGTTGGGATGTCACAACAATTCTCTTGGCTTTTTCACCGCACCTTGCCCTGACTCAAGACGCAGATCTTGTCCGCGTTGACCACCGTCGACAGCCGATGCGCTATGACCAGCACCGTCCGGCCTTTGGTTAGGCGAGACAGCGCCTCCTGAACGAGGGCTTCGCTGTGCGCGTCCAACGCGCTCGTCGCCTGGCGTGGAGAAACGAGGCACCGGGTACCGAGACGAGGACGGTCACCTTGCTGTTCTTGGTTGTTGCCATGGGGTTTACTGCTGCGGGTACTTCGGGGTCGGGAGGCCGGGAAAGGAGGCCACATTTACGTCGATGCCGAGGGGAGCCTATCGCTCTCCTACATGATGACTCGTGCATCCATCGCGCTCTGCCTTTCTCCTCCCGCACCCCCACCCCACCCTTTCTCACTCCCTTCTTCTCTTCCTGTGTATGTCTCCCGCGTTTGTGGCGCATCTAACTCACCCCTTCTCACATTATTCAGACCCCCCCCTTTCACTCCCTGTGAATGTCTCCCGCTTGCCCGTATATCCATTCCCACCCCTTGTCACTTCTCAGACCCCCCCCCCCGACGAAACGGACACAGATTTGAGAGTTCATCACGGCGACGCACCTCGTCCAGAATCAGTATACGCGCGTCCTTGAGCACCGCGCGTGCGATAGCGATCCTCTGCCGCTGACCGCCGGAGAGCTGCACCCCCCCCTCTCCGACGAAAGTTTCGAACCTGCCAGAAAAAAAAAACAAGATGCAGACATCGTGCTGCTGTCGGAGCGATTCGAATTGCTCCGTTTTCTTCGCAGGGTGCGTCAAGAACAGGGAGCTGAAAGGATAGCAAGCGCGCAGAGAAATAGGTACGAAAATTGTCGCTGGTCGCGAATGTGATGGCGTTTGCGTAAGTCTCAATTTCCGTGGATGTTTCCCATGGAAGATCACTGCTACGTCTCCTGCCGCCGGCACGGAATATCTCACGAAACGGGACAGCCAGCCCATGGCGGAAATGCTTGACGAAACCTCTCCAAACCGCGCCACATGGTACCCGTCACAGAGAAAACCACGGCCACACAAGCGACTACACTCCCGTTACAAAGGGCACAAAGGGCACAATGCAACCGGCGATATCACACAATGTTGCCAAGAGCCCCCCCCCCCCCCCC